GAATCATAGGACACATAGGAGGAACATGAGGGGGAGGGGGAGGAGGAAGAAGAGGGCCAGCAGGAGTAGGAGTAGCGGGAGAGGGATGATGATGAGGAGGAGGAGGATGAGGAGGATCTGGGGGAGACGTCACAGGAGGAGGAGGAGGAGGAGGAGGAGGAGGAGGAGGAGGAGGCGGATGAGAGGAGGAGGAGCCGAGGAGGAGGAGGAGGCAGAGCAGGCGGATCCGGATGACGAGGAGGAGGAGTGGGAGGAGGAAGCGGAGAAGGAAGACGCGGAGAAGGAAGAGGAGGAGGAGGAGAAGGGGGAGAAGGAACAACAGGATGAGGAAGACAAGGTGGATGAGACGGAGGTGGCGGACGAGGAGGATGAGACGGAGGAGGAGAGAGATTGAGGTGAAGGAGGAGGGACAGGAGGAGGACGATACGGAGACGGACACGGATGATGCGGAGTGGCAGGAGGCGGGCGAGGAGAAGCAGGATACGGAGGATGAGGATGACGAGGACGAGGCGAGGAGGAGGAGGAGGAGGATGAGGAGGAGTGGCAGGAGGAGAACGAGGAGGAGGAAGAGGAGGAGGAAGGACAGATAATGAGGACTACCCAGAGGCCACATAGGATGATGAGGAACACGAGGGCGAGGCGGAGGAAGAGGAGGAGGAGGAGGAGGAGGAGGAGGAGGAGGAGGAGGTGGAGGAGGCAGGAGGAGGAGGAGGAGGAGGACGAGGAGGCGGGAGGGGGAGGGGGGCAGGAGGAAGGAGGGAGGAGGAGGAGGAGGAGGAGGAGGAGGAGGAGGAGGCAGGAGGAGGAGGAGATTGAGACGGAGGAAGACGATGGGGGCAGGAGGAGAAGGAGGAGGAGGAAGTGGGGACACGAAACAGGAGGAGGAGGAGGACGCTGAGGAAGAGGAGGAATAGGAGGAGGAGGAGGAGGAGGAGGCGGAGCAGGATGAGGAGTAGGCGGAGGAAAAGGAGGAGGAGGAGGAGGAGGCTGAGGCGGAGGAGGAGGAGGAGAGGCAAACGGAGGACGCGGACAATGAGGGGGAGTCGGAGGCTGAGAACAGGGAGGATGAGGAGGAGTAGGATGAGGAGGAGGACGAGGCGGAGGAGGAGGAGTGGGGCAGAGTTGGAGGATGAGGAGGAGGATGGTGCGGATGATGGTGATGCTGAGGGTGATGCGGATGATGCTGCTGATGCTGATGCTGATGCTGATGATGACGATGCTGACGATGATGCTGATGATGATGCTGATGATGATGATGCTGATGTTGATGCTGATGCTGATGATGATGGTGCTACTGGTGATGCTGCCGACGATGGTGCTGATGATGATGATGCTGATGCTGATGATGATGTTGATGATGTTGTTGTTGCTGATGATGATAATGCCGATGATGATGATGATGATGATGATGATGATGATGATGATGATGATGATGATGATGATGATGATGATGATGATGATGATGCGGCCGATGCTGATGCTGATGCTGATGATGACGATGCTGATGACGATGCTGATGATGATGATGATGATGGTGATGATGATGCTGATGATGATGATGATGACGATGCTGATGATGATGATGATGATGGCGATGCTGATGCTGATGATGATGATGATGATGATGATGATGATGATGATGATGATGATGATGATGATGATGATGATGATGATGCCGATGCTGATGCTGATGATGATGCTGGTGATGGTGGTGGTGATGGTGATGGTGACGGTGACGGTGATGGTGAGGAGGAGAAGGAGGATGCGGAGGAGGAGGAGGAGGATGCGGAGGAGGATGCGGAGGAGGAGGAGGAGGAGGAGGAGGAGGAGCGGTGAGTAGGAGCAGTAGGAGAAGGATTAGGAGGAGGAGGCGGAGGAGGAGGATATGGAGGAGACAAACCAGGAGGAAGAGGAGTCGGAGGAGGAGGAAGAGGAGGAGGAGGAGGCGGAGAACAGGAAGGAGCAGGAGGATGAGGAGGGAATGAGATGATGATGGGGAGGGGAAGGAGAAGAGGAGGAGGAGGAGGAGGACGAGGGCCTCGGAGAGGAGGAGGAGGAGGCAGGAGGGGGAAGGAGAAGCGAGCAGGAGAACGAGGAGGAGGAGGAGGAGGAGGAGGACGAGGAAGAGAACGAGGAGGAGGAAGAGGAGGAGGAGGAGTGCTCAGAGGAGGACGAGTAGGAGGACGAGGAAGGACGGAGGAGGAGGAATCAGAGGAAACAGACGTTGAGGAGGAATATGAGGAGGAGGAGGACGAGGAGGAGGAGGAGGAGGAGCAGGAGGAGGAGGAAGAAGAGAAGGAAGATAAGGACGATGAGGAGGAGGAGGAGGAGGAGGGGCAGAAATGAGTAGGAAGGAGCAGCAGCAGACGGAGGAGGAATGGAGGAGGAGGAGGACATGGGGGAGACGAAACAAGAGAGCGGAGGAGGCGGGGGAGGAGGAAGAGGAGGACAAGGAGGAGGAGGAGGCGGAGCGAGAGGAGGAGGCAAGGAGCCCCGCGAGGGAGGTGAGAAGCGAGAAGGAGTAGGAGGAGAGGAGCATGGAGGAGGAGGAGGAGGAGAAGGACAACAAGGAGGGACGAACCGGTGGATCGGTGGAGGAGGAGGAGGAGAGGAGAGGAGCTGGAGATAGGCGAGGAGGCGGGGAGGAGAGAGAGGAGGAGGAAGCGAGGAGGAGAAGGAGTGAGGAGGACGGAGGAGGAGGAGGAGGTGGAGGAGGAGGAGGGGACGGAGGAGGAGGAGGAGTAGGAGCGAGGAATTTCAACGCTTTTGGTACTATTCGGGCCTCAGGAGGATGGAGGCAAATGACGAGGAGGAGGACGACGAAGCGAGGAGAAGGAGGAGTGAGGAGCAGGAGGAGGAGGAGGAGCTAAGAGGAGGAGGAGGAGGAGCGAGAGGGCAGGGGAGGGCGAGGAGGAGGAGGAGGAAGCGACAGGAGGAGGAGGAGGCCGAGGAGGAGGAGGCACAGGAGGATCAGGCGGAGAGGATGAGCCTGAAGGACGGAGGAACCAAGGAGCGAGGGAGGAGGAGGAGGCGGAGCCAGGAGGAGGAGGAGGAGGAGGAGGAGTAGGAGGAGAAGCGAGGCGGAGGAGCAGCGAGGAGGAGTAGGGAGGAGGAGGAGGAGGAGGAGGAGGAGGAGGAGGAGGAGGAACAGCAGGAGGAGGAGGCTGATGATGAGGAGGAAGAGGAGGAGGACGAGAAGGAGGAGGTGGATGAAATATAGCTAATGAATAATCATCTCATAACAATACTCATACTACCAATCGTTGTACCACTAATAATATTAACAGTAAGCGCTCGTAGTATTAGTAGTAGTAATACTAATAAAATTAGTAGCACGAGTAATATTAACAACACTCGTGAATAATAAGAGTAACCATGATGAACAGACTACTACCTAAACATATTGTAATATGAACGATAAGAATATAACATGATAAAACAACTCGGAGGAGGAGGAGGAGGAGAGGTGGAAAAGGAGGAGGGAATGAGAAGGAGGAAAAGGGTGAGTTGGAAAAGGAGGAGGAGCAGGGGACTTGCGTGTCGGACTTGTTGCTGCACTCGAGCCCGTTGGCCGCGGCCACACCATGGCGTGGAAAAGCAACCGCCCCGCTGGCGGCGAGGGGCGGGAGGGGAGGAACGAGGCAGGGCGGGGACGGGACGGGTGCCAGTGGGATCTTTCCCGCCAGGGCTCCTGGCGCGTGCGGCTGCCGTGGGCCGTAGCCAGCAAACCCGTTTCGCGCGGCGCTCCGGAAGCCCCGACGACCTCCCCAGAGTCGCCACCAGGGGCGACCCCGATCGGGGGAGGGAGGGTGGCCAGGTTAGCGGGCCGGCAGCTGCAGCTACCCAAAAGAGGGAGGGGAGGGACAGACGGGCAGGAGAAGGGAAGGGGGGGGGGGGCGGTTTGCGCGGGCGGTTGGCGCGGGCGATTGCCAGGGTCCATGCCACCGCGTCCCGCGCGGCGCACGGGCCGTGCGTGCAGCCCCCGGGGCACCCCGACAGGGCCGAATCCCCCCCGGGGCGGGGGTGGCGACAGGGATCCCGGGAGGCTGGTGCCGGCTGGGCCGGCAACTTCCATCTGGGAGGAGGGCCAGGGGTACAGAGGGCGGAGGAGGGGGCAGGTAGGGGAGGGGGCGGGGAGTCAGCAGGGGAGGGGGGGAAACAGGGCGGGACGCAGTAAGGGGGAGAAGGCGGGGCTGAGAGCGGTTGCGCAGGGCCGTCGCCGAGCGCGCGCGCAACTGCTGCTACACGAAACGCACCTCTACCTCCAGCTCGTCCCGGTTCGCTGCGCCTCCAGTGGCCCGCGCGGGCAGCCCCGCGAGGGTGGGCGGCCGGCGTGCACACACGGCCTCCCGCATTCCTTCGACGGTTGGGCAGGAGGGCGGGAGGTAGGCCCGAGTCGATGCCGCCACACAGCGGGCATGGGGCGTCGGCCGGCGGCGGCGGCGGCGCCCCCCTCACCGGCGTCGGGGCGTCGCCCGTGCCCCTCGCCACTGCCCCTCGCGCGGCACAGACGCCCTACCACGGCGCCCAGCGGAGCGAGCGCGGCCGCGGCCCTTTATGGGCGGCAGCAGGTCCGCGAGGGAGGCGACAGCCCGTCGTCGCCGAGGCGCGCCACCTGCGTTGCGAGCCACTGCGCCCACGCGGCCTCGAGCAAGAGATCAGTCTCCTGGCGGGCCCCAGGGCTTCACGGCCGCGCGGCGGGCCAGGAATTGCCGCTGCAGGCGGGGCGCCCGGCCGGGCGGCGACGCCCGGGGCGTCGGCCACGC